GCTATGAATTCTGAAAAGAGTCAAGGTGATGTTTTGAAGGCAGTTTTACGAGCCAAAGAGAACAATCAAATTGAAGGAATATATGGAAGGATGGGGGACTTAGGTGCCATTGATGGTAAGTATAAACATTCCGCTGTCATTTGATATTTAAGATCGTTATAATCTCCCTGTATTATGAGATGTGGTATTGTAGTTGAATTTTTTTTCATGCTAAATGGTTTTTAGATGTAAATTGACTGTTCCATGTCTGAATGATATTAAATGTAAACAACAAAAGCTTTTAATCACTGACATTGGTTGTCCTTGCAGCAAAATACGATGTTGCCGTATCAACTGCTTGCGGTGGCCTTGATTACATTGTTGTGGAAACAACGTCTGCCGCTCAGGCATGTGTCGAGCTGCTACGGAAGGGAAATCTTGGCGTAGCAACGTTTATGATATTGGTATTGCATACTAATTTCTGTTTCAATCTTACCCAACTGGTGAATTTTATTTAAAATGCTAACGTACATTAGAAGAATCGTTATAGAGGAATCTGTGATATGGGTTGGTCTTAGTAAATTATTATATTTAGTTAAGACGTTACAAGTGTGTTATGGTGGATTTGAATCGGCATATGAAATGCAATATGTAGTGCTGAGTAAATTCTTGAGTGGACCAGATCCAAAGCTTCATATTCTTTCGCCTAGTTTCTCCCCTTGCAAATAGATATAAATATTCCTTGTGAAATGTCGTTTTCTGCAGGAGAAACAAACCAATCATTTGCCAAGATTGAAAGAGAAAGTGAAGACACCCGAGGATGTTCCACGCCTCTTTGATCTGATTAGAGTTAAGGATGAGAGGATGAAACTTGCATTTTACGCAGCCTTGGGGAACACTGTTGTGGCAAAAGATCTTGATCAGGTATGTTATGTTTGCTCATTAAGACTGGCTCAGCAACAACATTTATTTACTGGCCTAATACGGATGGATCCGGCTATGCTTAGCTATTCTAATGAAAAGAAGATCTTTAATACCTCAGAGAATACAAAGTTTCTGTGGACCAACAGCTGAACTATTAGATACATTTGTTTTGGTTATCAGGCAACACGTATTGCGTATGGTGGGAACAGAGAATTTCAAAGAGTTGTGACTCTTGACGGTGCTCTCTTTGAAAAATCTGGCACCATGAGTGGAGGGGGAGGCAAACCACGTGGAGGAAGAATGGGAACCTCTATTCGAGCCACTGGTGTATCTGGCGAAGCTGTTGCTAATGCAGAAAAAGAGCTCCTCAAAATTGTTGACATATTAAGCAATATCCGTGAAAAGATTGGCAATGCCGTGAGACAATATCGAGCTGCAGAAAACGAAGTCTCTCGCCTCGAGATGGAGCTGGCGAAAAGCCAAAGGGAGGTACTGTCTCCTGTGATTTTAACAGTGTAGCCCTCCCTTGAAATATATGATCAAATTGCCTTAACTGCAATAAAGCGTTTCTTTCTTCCATCTAATAGATCGAGAGTCTCAACTCAGAGCATAATTACCTGGAGAAACAACTAGCTTCACTGGAAGCTGCATCTCAGCCAAAGACAGATGAGATAGACAGGCTTAAGGAGCTCAAGAAAATCATCTCCAAGGAAGAAAAAGAGATTGAAAAACTTGAGAAGGGTTCTAAACAGCTGAAGGATAAAGTGCGTAGCATTTGTTATTCTTTATTTATGTTTTGAAATGTAGCAAATCGTACGTGTTCCTAACTTTTCATGGTCTAACTTGCCATGTTTAGAAAATCTTGAGTGCGTTCCCCTGGGGACTTAGATCAGTCAAATTCATAATCTCGAACTGAGTGGTGTTTCTTGTTTTAGGCTTTGGAGCTACAAACCAACATAGAGAACGCTGGTGGGGAAAAACTGAAAGGACAAAAGGCAAAGGTTGAGAAGATTCAGACTGTAAGTTTTCTGCTCTTAACCTGCTGTTAGTGAGCTCACTGTTGAGTGTTCCTAACTCTTATTTGTACATGTTTAGGACATTGACAAAAGTAATACAGAGATCAATCGGTGTAATGTTCAAATAGAAACAAACCAGAAAATGATAAAGAAGTTAACAAAGGGGATTGAAGACGGGACTCGAGAGAAAGAAAGGCTCGAGGGTGAAAAGGAAAAATTGCTGACAGTATTCAAATCTCTAGAACAGAAAGCATTTGCGATCCAAGAGAAGTATAAAGAAACACAGAAGGTTTTAACTGTCCTTTATCTATTTTGTCTATTTACTGTTTGGATAAGAGTTAATAGAGCAGTTGTTTCGTTTTGTTGTGCAGTTGAATGATGAACATAAAGACGTGCTAACTGAAGCAAAGTCCAATTTTGAGAACCTGAAAAAGTCTGTGGACGAGTTGAAGGCATCTAGGGTAACATACAACCGAATCCTTCTCTTTCTTGCTGGTTGTGTCTGTGTTACTTGGGGGTGCTTTTCATCATATAATACTTAGTCGTATACAGGTCGATGCAGAGTTCAAAGTCCAAGATATGAAAAAGAAATACAATGAATTAGAATTGAAAGAGAAGGGCTACAATAAGAAACTCAACGACTTGCAGATTTCACTCACAAAGCATATGGAACAGTACGTATGGTGAATCTCCCCATCCATGATACCTATCTCATTTGCATCTCAAATTTGTCATTTCTCCATTTGCAGAATTCAGAAAGATCTTGTTGATCCGGATAAGCTTCAAGCAACATTGATGGATAATAATTTGAATGAAGCTTGTGATCTTAAAAGGGCTCTTGAAATGGCTGTCTTACTGGAGGCTCAGCTGAAAGAGCTGAATCCAAATCTTGACTCAATCGCGGAGTAAGAATTTGGTTGTTTCATATTTGTGTATCCAATCAACACATGTTACACTAGCTTTCTTGATGGTTTGCTCCAATTACTTTAAGGTATCGGGGCAAAGTGGAACTTTACAATGGGCGGGTAGATGAACTTAACTCTGTAACCCAAGAACGTGATGACATAAGGAAGCAGCATGATGAACTGAGAAAGCGAAGGTATTCCACATTCCTAATTGTTCTGCGTATTTATATATATTTTCCCTTTTGTTATGGGTCTAATGAAGCTAACTTGAATGAGTATGAATTGATTTCAGGTTGGATGAGTTTATGGCAGGATTTAACACAATCTCGTTAAAACTGAAAGAAATGTATCAGGTTAGCTTCCTTTTGAACATTGTTTACAACTCCATAAGCTTACAATAGGGTGTAGAAACCAAGATATTCAGAAATTATTTGAAACTTATTTATTTTTCTTCTTCGCTTATCTTATACATCTTATCTATATGATGCGGCAGATGATCACTCTCGGAGGTGATGCAGAGCTCGAGCTTGTAGACTCGCTGGACCCTTTCTCAGAAGGTGTGGTTTTCAGCGTGAGACCTCCCAAGAAGAGCTGGAAGAACATTGCAAACTTGTCCGGTGGTGAAAAGGTCTTTTTGAGAAAACAAACTAACCTCTCTCTACACTTTATGTCTCCAGTCTGACTCTCAACTCTTTTAAATGACTTCTCTATCTCTCACTTACAGACGCTTAGCTCACTCGCACTAGTCTTTGCACTTCATCACTACAAGCCTACACCGCTTTACGTCATGGATGAAATCGACGCCGCTCTCGGTAACACTTGCTTTCCTCTAATATTATCTGCAAAACTCAGTTTAATGCGTGAAAAAAGTTTGACTCCTTTTTTTTTCCCCTCACTAGATTTCAAGAACGTATCAATCGTTGGACACTACGTGAAGGACCGTACTAAAGATGCTCAGTTCATTATCATCAGGTCAGTTCAAACTCGAATTTTATTCGAACCTGATTCTGATTGCCTTGTAATTGTATGTATTTACTATTTTAAGTGATAGAGGTTTTGATATCTAATATATGAAAATGTTGCAGTCTGAGGAACAACATGTTTGAGCTAGCAGATAGATTGGTGGGAATCTACAAAACAGATAACTGCACTAAGAGCATAACTATCAACCCTGGAAGCTTCGCAGTTTCTCAGAAAACGTCTGCTTAGAGTCTACCAAATGAACAACATCTCTACATGAACCACTTTTAATTTTTGGGTGTCTGCATGTATTAACAAGCTCATTGTATTGTAATGGTTTCCTTTTTTTTTTTTTTTTTTTGAAACACTATTGTAATGGTTTCCTTGTGTGGGTTTATCTCTACATTTCAGTGACTTTCGCTTGCATCTTTTGTTTTTAAATGATGGGATTAACATTATCCATATCATAAGTTATATAACCTAAAGTATGTGTATATTAGAGACCTACTTGTAGACCAATTTAATAATGGTCAAAGAAATTTGCATAATTATTGTATTTTCTAAGCAATACGAATTTTTAGGATTGGGACCAGATGAGGATGATGATGACACCATTAAGCCGACGACTAGATGCGGATATACCAAGTATAAATTATTTATTTTAAAGACGATTCTTATTAAGAAGCACAAGTAGCATCAAGGCGAGTATAGTGGGTTACAATGTGAATATAAAAGTACAAAAGACGTCATTGAAAAAGTTACAAAAAAATGAGTACAAAAGACATTTGAAAAGGTCATAATATTGAAAAAGTTTGATGAATTTATTTTCCCTAAACCATTTAAAATCGGCATTATGAAATTAAATATTGTGGACTTCATTGGGCATAGAAAAATGCTTCTATTTCGTAGAAAAATGAATTTATTATGTTATGGTTTGCTTCTGTTTCTTTGAGCAGATGGCTGGTGTTTTCAAATAAATGTACAAAAATTCGTTATTACAATATCACAGAAAATTTCGCTTTTGATGCTATCAATGTTTTATGAAAAATCTTAGAAACTGAAATAATCAAAACAAGAAAATTATTGGATGGTTGAGTTGAAATTGCCATGTTCATTGTTCACCTCAAATTTCTAAAAAGGTTTTTGAATAATTGAATGTTTTTGTTGTCAACTTATTTAACCTTCTTTAAAACCTGCAAGTAAAAATGATACAAGCTGAACACTAGTAAAAATGATAACAACACACTTCCATACAAATCAATAACGTTAACAACCAGTACAACTACAACCTCATACTTTGTGTTTATTCCCAAACTCACAAATCTTTTTATTTTATTTTGCAGCTACAGATAGTGATTTCAACAAACATTTGGAAACAAAATAAAAGTACACAGAGTCTTCAGGCTGAAGTAAGATCTTCTTGTACATATTTAGCAAACTCTTCCCTTGATCTCCCATCTGGATTCTTCTTCCATTCAATGAACTTCTTCGACGCCTCTATGAATTTCTCCATGTGAAGCTTCTTCCATTCCTTCCAAGTCAATTATCCACACAAAAAATGTTTGTGCCAAAAACCATTAAGCAACATAAACTTCAAAAAAGACTAAATCAAGAAGTTTGGAAACAAAAACAAGAATAGTGTTAATGAAATGAACCTCGAAATCCCATTCTCCATACATATCAGGATCATCCTTGTTGGCCCATACAAAGGTTTCCACTTGCATCTTTTCAGATGTGTCCTGCATCAAGAATGGAATCTTTAAGCAATCTCATGAATATCATCAAATGATGATCATTAGTAAATGAAACTTACAGTCAACACAACTTCAACAGTCTTCCTCACATACTCCTCACCTTCAATCATATCTAAATTCTCTAGCTGACCATCTGTTAATCCGGTTAGTATCTGCACCATTCTTCATCTTTTGAAATCAACAAGTTTGAGAAAGTTTATAAATAAGAAAAAAATAAGAGACAGGGGAGATTATAATCAAAACCTTTCCATTGATGATACCGTTGTCAGAAGGAGAAATACATGGATGCAAACGCCCTTTGAGTCGATAAAGATGACTTCAAAGAACAAAAATAGAATCAAGAAATCGGATCTAATCAATCTCCAAGCAAAGAAGATAGTAGCTTAACCCTTTCTCAAAAAAAAAAAGACTTACTAGCCGTGAAGTTGAGCAGAGATAGTGACAGGATCGCATTCGAGGATCAAGTTAACGACGGATGGTTCTTGGAAACTGCCGTAGACGAAGACATTGTGGGATAAAGATTGATCAGAAGAACTAGTCATCGTTCTTGAATGAAACCTACGTGTGAGAGAGAGTTAGTGCTATGTTTCTTTATATATTCCCTCTCTTTATCATCATCAACATCATCACGTTACGTAAGTAGCGTAGCGTTGTTTATTTCCGAGTAATAATCAACAGGTGTTTGGCTGGCAATTATCGGCTTTAAGGAAGGCATTGACTATAGTTTGTTGACTTTTTTTTTGTTGATTTATCCTCTTAATAATGGGGTGGAGTCCTGTGAAATTTCCTGTCGGCGAAGAAAATATGCAGTGTAAATTACTAATGTAACATGATAAGAAGAGTATACTCTCTCGTTTCTAAATATTTGTCATTTTAAATTAATTTTTGTCACAAATTAAGTGTCGTTTTATAATTATAAAATAAAATTTATTAGTTTTATATAATATTTTATTTTATATTAGTTGAAAAATGTTTAGGTATATAGGTAATTGTGTTTTTATCTTGAACATATATAAAATAAAATGTTTTCTTAATCTGTATGCAAAAATCTAAAATGACAACTAAAGTAAAACGAAGTAAATAGTAAAGTTTTTGAAATGAATTTTTTTTGTGCTTCTATCTGTTTTGTTGTAATAAATGTAATTTTTTTTTTGAAACACAATTTCATTCAGTAGCAGTTAGGTAGAGAGCATTAAAGCCTCATTACACCTAATATCTGTTTTGCCAATAACTGTAATAAAGGTATATAAATGAATGAAATAATTACAGATAGAGATTGAGTCAGAGAGTCTTTGAATTTTGTGTTTAATAAAGGATGCGGGCCTGCTTGTAGAGTTTCCATTGGGCACGTCAAATCATTTTTTAAAATTAGTATATGACTTTTTTCTTTTGGATTCGGACCATATCTGGTCTGAATAGTACGTGTCTCCTGGTAAAAGTAAAAGATAGTAAAAGGAGTGGTCCGAAACCAAAAGAAAAAAGTCAATGTTCATGAATAGTAGTAGTACGTGTCTTACCTTTTTTTCTTTTTAAACTAGATTTTCTTTCTATTTCTCCAGTACAATTTCAGATACGTTTAAGGGTATTCACCGGACCAGGTTGATTGAATGATGACACGTAATGATTAGAAATGATAAAACATAATCATGCAACTCAATGTTCATGTAGTAGAGATACGACAACTTATAATCTTATTGCACATGAGTGAGAGTCTGAGAGAGCTTTCTATTTTTGTAGTAAACGATTAGATATCAGGAAAAGGCAGACAAGTTCTTCACACCACAGGAGGATCCTCGTGTACAAATTTCTCAAACTCTTCTCTTGTTTTACCATCTGGATTCTTCTTCCATTCGATGAATTTCTTCGATGCGTCTATGAATTTATCCATATGTAGCCGCTTCCATTCCTTACCCACAAAAGTGTTTGCGTTAAAACCATCAAGTAGCATAAAACTTAAACAAGACTCAAAGACTAATTAGTTTTTGATGATTAGTGGAAACTTTTTTTTGGTGTAAGATTAATGGAAACTTATGACCTAATGCCTAATGCTTTCATACCTCGAAATCCCATTCTCCATACATGTCTGGATCATCCTTGTTTGCCCAAACTAAAGCTTCCACTTCCATCTTCTCTGAAGTCTCCTGTATTAGTGGAAACTTATAACTAGCTTAAGCAATCTTAGTATGATTAATGTGTAATGGTGATTAGAGATACTTACAGTTAAAACAACCTCAACAGTCTTCCTCTCATACTCAGCTCCTTGAATCATATCTAAATTCTTTAACTGAGCTTCTGTTAAACCAGTTAGTACCTGAAATCTCAAAAGAGAACAGACTGGTGTATATTAAACCGGAGATAAACAAGTAACAATGTTCATTAGTTCAGAAATTAAATACAAAACCACTTAAACACTAATAAAACAAATTAAATGAATTGAAAACTTAATATGTTACTATAGAAGAAAATCAAATTATTTGTGAACAATTAGTGATTACATGAAAAAGCATTTCGGTATCAAGAAAAACAAGTAGATTAAAGAGATGAGATCAAGACCTTGCCGTTGACTAATCCAGACTCAAAAGGAGCAATACAAGGATGCAAACGTCCTTTGAGTCGATAAAGATGACTTAAAAAAAACAAGAAATCGGATTTGATCAGTCTCCAAGAAGTCCAAGCAAAACAAAAAAAATATGAGAAGAAAAAGGAAGAAAGGTACAAGCCATGGAGTTGTGCGGAGACGATGACCGGAGTGCACTCAAGGATCAAACTCACAACAGCTGGCTCCTGGAAACTGCCGTAGACGAAGACGTTGTACGATGGAGATTGTTCAGAAGTAGCCATCTTCTTTCCTCTGACGTTGTTTTGTTTCAGTTTGTAATCAAGTTGAGTTAGTACTCTCTATCATCTCTTCATATTTTTTTTATAATAGCCCTGTTCGGCTAGCAAACGCTGATACTAGCGTCAACAATCAAAATTAAAGCGTGGAATTGAAGAAACATTGGCTGAATTTAGTCGCAGCATCAATTTAAAGTTTCAGATGTAACAGACTTGCGGACATCAGTGGGACGCCCAGATTAATAGCGTCAGCGTTTAAGAAATATGGAGTCAACTTTTTGAACGCCGGCGTCTCTATTCTCTCTCAGTTGCCTTCCGCTTTACCACTCTCTGTGTTTATTTACGATCTTTTGTCGCTGACGCTGCGTCTTCCTCCCAAACAGGGCTAATCTTTTAAACCAATCTCTATCAGTCAACGTCAAACCATTCGCATTTTCTAGTATTTTTCCAACACAATTATATGACTTTTTGGGTTCTGACTAGATTTGTTTGAATGAAGACACAACTAATAATGCACCAAGTTACACAAACCTCATAATGCTTTAATCTCAGATACATTGCAAAATGAACATATAACTCTTGTTTCGTAAATGAATAAAGATACAATATGACATCGTATTTGTAGCCTCTTATAACCTTATTATTGACACTCTTTAATTTGGAATTTAAGATAGATAAACTTCAAGGATCTTCGTTTACAAATTTAGCAAACTCTTCCCTTGATCTCCCATCTGGATTCTTCTTCCATTCGATGAACTTCTCTGAGGCCTCTATGAACTTCTCCATGTGAAGCTTCTTCCATTCCTACCAAATCAAAAATCCACACAAAGTGTTTGCACCAAAACCATTAAGCAACATAAACTTCAGAGATCATTAGGAAACTTTTAAGTATGTGAGTTAATCAACCTCGAAATCCCATTCTCCATACATGTCAGGATCATCCTTGTTAGCCCATATAAAGCCTTCCACTTGCATCTTCTCTGATGTTTCCTGCATAAAAATGGAGATTAATTAATTAATAAAACCTTTAAGCGGTCACATGATCATTAGACATGATGAAAATAAAACTTACACTCAATACAACTTCAACAGGTTTCCTCACGTACTCATCTCCTTCAATCATATCTAAATTCTCTAGCTGACCATCTGTTAATCCAGTTAGTACCTACACAAAACCATCAACCCTTTTTTAATATTTTGAGATAAAAAAAACACAAGTTAATATATATATACGTATATAACAAAAACATACCTTGCCGTTGATGACTCCGGTCTCAAGAGGAGCAATACAAGGATGCAAACGCCCTTTGAGTCTATACCTGTGACTGCAAAATCCACAATAAAAAGTATTTAATAAATCTTGAAACAATCTAAGCAAGAAGAAAGACTGGGAGATGTGAAGTTTAAGACGTACAATCCGTGGAGTTGAGCAGAGACGATGACAGGAGTGCATTCAAGAATCAAACCCACGACGGCTGGTTCTTGAAAACTGCCGTAGACAAAGACGTTGTGCGACGAGGATTGATCAGAACTACTCATCTTCTTTTTCCTCTGATAGTTATAGTTTGAAAATATTCTTGAAAATGTGAGAGAGATAGGTTTACTAGTGCTCTGTTTTATAACCTCGTATCGACGACGCCTACTTTGAATTTTTCTTCCTTAAAATTAATAATGATAGTTGACCCTTTCTTTATATTTATTTTCCCACGTCAAGTCGCCATTTTTGTTTTATCATAAACAAGTGCATACTTCTCTTGAAATTTGATTATTTTGGAGTAATATATTGAGGAGACTCAAATTTTAATATGGTTTATGTTTTGAACGATTAAAAAAAAAGCAAATTGATCTTTGAATTAGCCAAGCAAAAATTGACTAGATATGACTTTTTTTCATTGCCGTACACCTACCTTATATTAACTACAAATTAACGTCTATTTATTTCCTTATGATTGTAGATTACTATTTGGTATGAATGTATTCGCTGAGTTTGGTCCATGTTCATTTATAAACTGGTGTATTTGATACTGACTATCAAATGTTCAAAATCTCAAAAGAAACAAGAAATACTCTTTTCATTTCAAATATGTAGTATTAAAAGTTTTTTTTTTGTTTAATTCAAAGTATGGTTCATATTTTTCAGCATCAAATGTTTTTAAAAAAAAAACCTTTTGCGTTAGTGTATTAATTAGAAACAAAAAATCTATTAAAATTTCTTTAGAATAAATATTTTAACCTATCTACACAACAGTATGAAATGAGACTAGATCTTTATAAAACAAAAGAGTAATAAACTACACAACTTTATCTCATCTCATTCTCCTCCTCTGCTTTTAATATGTAGTTTCAGATTGAATGGATAAAGGTTTAATGTAGTTCAATAATCTTCATAACTTCAAACCCTAGCATTATCATTTGCATAAGAAGAAACTAATGCACACAATCCTAGCAAATAAACTCTTAATTACAAATGATGTGTAGTATTGTAGTTAAAGAGTTTTTTTCTGTCATCCGTAATTAAGAGTTTTTTTTTTTAAAAAAAAGCTCTTTAACTACAATACTACACATCATTTGACTGATAAGTAGAACTCTTGAACCTCAGAACTCAAGAACCAGAAAACAGAATTTGGCAGACAAGATTCCACAGTAACACAAACAAAATTAAAATACAAGACACAGTTTCAAGTTCTAGCAACACACAAAACACAAACATATTATATATTAGAAAACACACTTTACTAACTCTTCTTCTGCCAAAAGTTAGCACCAAGGAAACAACAAACTTATGTCTGTGTTCATTGTTCAAGAATCATCATTCCGTACTGATTCCACAATATCCTCTCTTCTCTTCCCATCTGGATTCTTGTTCCATTCCAACAATTTCCTAAACGTCTCCACGAATTTATCCGCATGAACCACTCTCCATTCCTACACACAATCCCAGAGTTAAATTAATCATCTACCCAAAAATATTTTTGGAAAAAAAAACATTTCACCATCCATTAGCAAAAAAAAAAAAAGAAAACTAACCTCATAATCCCATTCTCCATACATACTAGGATCATCTTTGTTAACCCAAACATAAGTTTCCACTTTCATCGTCTCTGAATTGTCCTGTATCATCATCATATTCTTCCAAATCTTAGAACAAACTAACACACCAAAATACGCATTACTTTTGTGATTAGAGACATAGATCTTGTCCCAAAAACTTACCATCCTTAGTTACAAAAAAAATAAAAATAAAATACTTACCATCCTTTCAACTTCAACTGTTACTCTCTCATACTCACTACCTTCAATCATATCGAATTTTTGTAGCTCAGCATCAGATACTCCCCTTATTACCTTCACCAACAACAACAACAAAATATTCAAATACAAAATACAGATCAAAAAACAAAACATAGATCTCGAATCAAACCTTCCCGTTGACTTTTCCAGACTCAAAGGGGACAATACATGGATACGGACGCTCTTTGAGTTTATACCTGTGACTACAAAACAAAGCATATAAGAGTTAAGCACCTATCGTAAAAACACTAGTCAGAGAGGAAGAAAGATAACTTACTAGCCGTGGAGAAGGGCGGGAACTGTATCAGCAGGGCGGTCAAGGATCACGGCAGCGACGGCTGGTTCAAGAATGCTGCCGTAAAAGAAGATGTTATGAGACGGAGCATCAGAGCCACTCATCTTCTTCCCTCTGTTTTGATTTGGTTAGACAAAAGTGAGAATAATGTATGGAGTGGGATGATCCCATCACACTTTAATCATTATTGTCTGTTGTCTACTGTCCACTTTAGAATAAGTATTTGATTATGTTCAATTATGTATTTGTTTATTAAAGTTTTATAATTTTATGTTTATATAAAAATATTATTACATTATAATTTATACTATTAAAGATAAAAAAACATAAAAGTATGTAGGATGTTTTCTTTTGTTACAGTTTGATATATTATATAAATGATAATGTTCATTTAATGATATTATTATACTAAAAATAAAATAAAATGACAAATATAAAATAATGTGATATATTATTTTTTTAATAAAAATATGAACTATCAATTAATCCTAATTTAAGTATATTATTAAATACAATATAAAAATTATTTAATTATTTAAAAATAAATTAAATGTGATGTATTTGAGTCTCTTTAAAGTCATATTAACGTAGTTACATGATGGAGTGTAATAGAATATTTTCGAACTTATCTTACTTATCAACTCAAAGTTCGTTTGCCACTATACCACCATATCTTATTGTATATAACCGACATCATTAATGTATGGAGCGTGGAGATATTAATGCACATACAAAGTATAAAGTATGTCACTATGTTACATGATGTAGAAACATAAATATATAAATTGTTGCAACATCTTTATAAACTTTATTTAACCGAATTCGTTCCTTTATTTGCTCTATAATCAATATAAACTTTCAAACACTACCAACCATTTCTCGAATTGCAATGTAAGTTCCCAAAACACCAATGGGAACACTCATGGCCACCATACCAAACAACATTACAGTCTCAAACCCAAGTTTCTTGAAATTCCCAGAGATCTTCAAGTAACATAGGCAAGGGAGAAGAATAGAAACCGTCACGCTCAGTAATGCACCAACCAGAGACATCATATAGCCAAAGAAAGGAAGTGTCTCGGCGATAAACACACTACTTGTTATGAACAATGTACTTATCAAAAGATGCAAGTATGATTTCTTTGCGTACTTCTTAGGAAACCAATCTTTTATGGTGTTCACCGTTGGTGTGATCATCAACGCATATTTGGCTATGGGGTTCACAAGGGTTGTGTATATAGCCACCTTTGAACTCGTCTTATGAATCGGTAGATTCAATGTTATTTGTGATAAAGTGTTAGATCCATACATTAAGTAGCCCAAAACAGCCATTGATGTGTAACCTATGGTGCATAATATAAAAGATATAAGTAGGACCTGCCAAAAAAAGGTTATATTAGCATTATTGTTATTACAGTTTTAAACTATACAAAAGAAAAAAGAACGTTACATACTTACATTGTTGAACTGATGTTTGCTTTTCATAGAAGAATACAAAGTGGGCAACACTGGATGCGCACCATAGCAAAAAGCATACAAGCTCAAAGCAGTAGGGATCCCACTCCAATTTATCAGCTTCCCACTTTGATTAAACCCAATTCCATCAAACGCTCCCACCCAAGATATTGATCCAAGAGTAACGGCCGTAGCTAAAACCCCACTCATAGAAACATAAGACAAGACACTTAAACTATCCCACCACAGAGTTGGCATGATGACAAGTGCCACTGACGCCATGAACGATTGTTTCCCGTTCAATCTCAACCCCATCAGTTTGATGTTAAACCCGGGGAAAAGATTGTGAAGATTGTCACCCTCAAGGATCAAGAAACCTGTGGTGACTAGGTAGAGTTCTAGGTGCATGAAGACTGATACAATGATTCTTCCAGGTCTACCAAACGCGCGTTCTCCAATGTCAGGATAGGTTTTGATGGTGCGGTCAGCGTTCATGCATTTTGTCATGAGTAAGGATGTGTAGAAGGCAGTTGCGGCTAGGAGTAGGAGAAGTGACAGACTCAACCATCCTCCACGAGCTAGTGAATATGGTACTGATAATATTCCAATTCCTATTACAATTCAAAGATGAGTGTAAGAAATATGTTTAGCAAGAAAAAAAAAAAGATGAGTAAATATGTAAATGCATGGAACCAAGATGAAGAAACTGACCTGAAAGAGCATTGAGTGCATTGAAGCAAGTCTTAAAGAGAGAGGATTCGCCATCATCAAGTTGTTTTTCGTGGTTATCTTCTTCCATTGCTAATAACTTGCCACAGAAAAAAAATTAGAGAATGTGAATTTTATTTTTACAAACTTATGCAACAAAGCATAGATAATGCAATGTATATATGTGTTAACTCTGTCTTCAACGTGTACAATTTGAACTTCTTTTAGAAAGTATTAGAAATAGTGATAATATCTTTTTCGTGAAAATAATTGAAGCTCTTTAAGAAAACAATAAAATAAATAAGGTTGTGATCATCAAAAGCGAAAGGCAACGTGATTTCTGACTGTGAATGCATTAGTATAAAACAATCAATTACCTGAGAAACAATTTATTGTTACCAAATATTCAAAGAAAATAGTTGTTGCGGGCCTTGCGGCTATCTATATGGATACATATATGATCACAATCTCAAAATCTCAAGAAAGGTTGTCATCTCAAGTTTAATAGAAACCAGTACATAAGTAACGACAGATCACATAAACGATTCAAAAACCCTAAAACTTACCTAGAAAATAAGTGAGAAATTAGAGTTTCTCTAACTCTTAAGGGGCTTAATCTCAAAAGAAATCGCCGAGTTTTGAGATCACGGGATATGAATGAGTGGAGTCTCACACATGTGAAGGTAAGAGGAAACTTGTTAGGTGTTTAGGTTTATAGTCCTACTGGATAGAGATTTAATGCCAACTAATTAGAATTTAGCATTTTTCTCAAATCTAAATTACATTCTAAATTCTAGACGTTTAAACCGCTAACCTATGAAGTTTATCTTTAATACTCCAACCCTAGACTTTTTAAACATTTTTTTACTCCGGATGACTCATATCCTTCTATATACTTAATCATTTTTATTCGAGTTGATAATTTACCCACATTATCTAAATATCTAAACCACATTCTAAATTGTACACGCTTAAACCTCTAACTAATCTTTAAACCAAAATACATCCTGTCTTTTAAGTAAATTACAAAAAAAAAATCCCTTTGATGTTATGCTTTTTAGACTTTGGGAAAGGAAAGTGCAGTAAAAAGTCTTCATGTGGCCATAACTACCCTTTTTCTCTCTTCTCAACGTGTATGATTCTTAGGCAATTAATTCTTTAATTTACTCCCTCATTGAATTAAAGTGTTGAACAAAGCCATAAACTGAATCACGAAATAGTATTAAGATCTGACCTTTTTTTTTTTTTGTTTTTTGTTGAAGATGGTGTCAGTTTTTCACAGCTCTTTTTAGAAGAAATTCAATTATGTAATCATTTGTTCTCCAACTTAGTTCCAATATACTCCAAAAACAAAGAATACAGTGACGGATAAATTTGCACAAGATGCCTGGAATACTCTTTCGCATAATATGATGCATCCTACGCTTAATCCTCTTTTCAAAATTTCGAATCATTTGGGTTTAGTATTTTGCTAACTCTTTCTTTGCTAATAACGGTTTGTAATAAAGCCGTAACATTGAAATTTCTCAAGAAAATTTAACATTAGATATCACAGCGAACAGTCATCTTTTTGCTCTAAAACTCGAAAATGTAAGATGAAAACTCAGTGTATAAATCGATTGGGAAACAAGTATTAAATAGCTCACAACAAACAAGAACTCACCGTTAACCTGAGACCTCTTTTTTGTTTTGTATATAATCAATTGCTTTGTCTGAGATGGTTTCTTGTGTTTCACGGCTTATCACCAGTCGATAAAAGACTCGCAAACCCTTGAGAGAGACTTCGCTCAATTACACAATACGACTTGGATGAACATCTTGGACTGTCCTCGGATCTCATTCGTTTCAAGTACGGCGACGAATACGTGTATCGACTTTCAGATACTTCATCATCGTCATCATCTTCTTCTTCATTGTAGTCTTTAGGTGTTTTTCTCTTTAGCCCTGGAACACTTCTTAAACCCGTGTGGTATCGGCTATATTCTTTGTGATGCTCATCTAACAACAGCAGCAGAAGAAAGAAGATAATGATAAGACTCATGTCACTGAGATTCCAAATATCTCTCAGATTATGAAAAAACCAAACATACTTGAAAGACGATCTTCATAAAGGCATGATTCAGATTCTGTGTCACCACAGTTACAGGACAAGCTAGTGTTCTTATTCGGTCCTAAAATGCTGCAAATCAACAACAAAAGGATTATAGGATTTCATTGATTACTGTGTAGTGTGTGTAATGCGTGTAATGTGTTGAGTGTTTGTTCCAAACCTGTACATATGCTCAACAAATTCATCGATGAGGACAGGCCAAGCACCTGAAAGAAACACAAAACAAGAATGATGAATCAAAACACAAACAGATAAAATTGTTTTAGTGAGAAATCTAAAGAAGCTGTACCTTCGGAGTCATATCCTTCAAGATTCTCATGTACACAACGACTAAAGGCCAAGACCTGTTGCCATGTATCTTCTGAAATAGTGTACCGTTGATTTTTCTACAAGTTGAAAGCATCATCTTCTTCTCGTTAGAGAAATAGACACAAGAAACAAACGTTTACACTAATGAAAAAATAAGAAAAAAGATAAGTACCTCGATGAAATCACACCAGCGGTTAAGTAATCTAAATCTCCCAACCAAAACCAGTTTCCATGCGGTAATAGCTTTAGCTACAGCTGCACAATATTCAACGTAAGTATCAGTACTGGCTGACACTGAGTAACCAAAAGGATGGTTGAGAGGGAGAAGAAGCTCTTACTTATACTCTTCTGTCCATTCTCACGGCACATAAAGAAAACGAAATCATAGAAGCGAGTAAACTCGGAGAAGTCCACCTACAAAGATCACAAAAACAAAAGATTAGATCACAGTGCAGCTGGTCAAAAGAAGAGTTAAGGAACCCAATGGAGACAAAAAGAAAAACTTGCCATTAAGTCCAGGCGTGACATCAACTTGAACAATTCATCAAAAACGGAGTTCCTGTCATGGGATGCAACGGAGAAATAAGGTAACGGGTCAGCAGAAGACAATCATCATATGATTGGAATGAAATATATTGAACTGGTGCACTCAAGAGAAAACAACAGTTGAGTAATCACCTAGCCTGAAACTTGTTCTCGACAAGACTCATGAGGTGAGTTAAAGCTTCTTTAGAATAATTAGTTCTTTGTGTTTCCTCGTCGTTTTTATAAATATTACACAAAGCTCGACCTGATCGAATGTCTGCAAAGGAATATCAAATCCAATAAGCAACGCTATAGAATTTACACAATTCTCAACATTCAATAAGCAAAGCTATATAGACTTTATTCAATAAGCAAAGCTAGATAGACTTTACACATTCAAAAACAAATGCATCAGCTGCCAAAACCCATTGAGAGCTCAAAAGAATCTACTTTCTACCCATAGCAATGGAAACAGAGCAACTCAGGATTCAAAAACAGAACAGAGATCTCCAAAACCTTATAACAAATATTAAAAAAAAAAGCAATAATTTTTCTTATGCAAGTTTCAAACTTAAGAACAATAACGAACAGATCAAAGAAGAAGGAAGAGACTTTACCACAAAACCTGCGATAAATTTCGAAGATATCGAACCGACCCTGAACAGGGGAAGAACCCATGGATATATTCTCTCGAGCTCGAAGCTTTTCTCTCTGTTGGGAGAAAGGCGATCGAAACTCGAAAGGAGCGTTTTACGAAACGAAATCAATCGAGGGAAGAAAGCCCAGAAGAGGAAACAAACCACACAACCAGAAATTCGATGAACTAAAAGGCGAAAATCCCAAAAGACAGTATATACTTTACAAAAATTACAAAATGCGAAAAATGGAAATGTTTTTCTTTTTTTTTATAAAAAAAAAAATGTTTGAAAGATTGCTTCTATGGGCTTCAATTAGATCCAAACTTAGAGTATCTCTATATCTCTAACCCCACTCCATAAATGGAGTAGTGAATAAACAAAAATGGAGTAATCACTTTTTTATTTGTTCACTATTCCATTTCCCACTCCATTTTGCAGTAAAATTATGGTGGGGATGGAGATCCTCTTAGACCCATTAATAAGTGACAAAATACCTCTTATGGGTAAGCATGACATTTTACTCGAATCCGAAGACCCAAATCGGAACCGACCCAAAAATACAGGTTCGAATCCGTGACCATGCCACTGGTCCTTTTATTTGGACCCACGGATCTTGGATCGGGTCCAGGTCCTACCTAAGACCCGATCGGGTAAAATTTCGAGTATTTTTGGGTTTTCGAATCTGATTTTTAACAAATTTTGGATATTTCGGGTATTTCGGCAGTTCTTCGGATAATTTTCGAGTTTTCAGATCCACTTTGGATACTCCGGATTTTTTTGTCCTAAATATCCGAACCGTTCCGGATCCAAAATATACCCAAAAATAATGAAATTATAGATCCGAACCAACCCAGATCCGACAAGACCTGCCCCAAAAAATTATAGATACCTATATGGATCTAATTTTCAGGACACAGAGGTCTGGATCCGACAAGACCCGACCTGAAGCCGATCCGAGGACCCGGATGCCCATGCCTCCTTATGGGCTTTATCCTAATCCTCCTTGGTTCTCTCTGTTACTCTTAAGAGAAAACCTAATCCAGAAAGGACCTAGAATGGATCGTAAGAACGTATGTTTTAATGATCAACAACTAATGCTACAAAAGAACGTATGTTGACTGCTTTTTCTTAAAGAGAAATAACAATCAAAACAAGTGATCGCTTAGTACATTACGATTTTAAAAATAGCAATCATTTTAGTTGGTATCTATTGCATTATGAAAAATAAAGACACAAATTTGTCATTGAGAAAAACGTTTTGAAATTTCTTTTAAAGCCAGACCGACACTGCTGCTCACCAATGCAACGTTTCTATTGCTTTAAGATGGATGGAAATCTTTATGTATCTACTCGAGTTAGTTTCAGTTATGGCGGGCCATAATGTGGATATCCATAGAAGAAGATCAGACAGACTATTTAACTATTCAGACTTCTCCCCCTAGACAGTATGAATTACTTAGTCACACACTAAAATGCGTGGAAGTGGACAGTGAAGGAGGATATTAGTTTAACATTCTCAAAAGAGTTTTGTTAATTTCACTTGAATTTTTAACCATCAAGTAAATTAGCATCCTAAATTGTTAATGAGACAGTGGAAATATCAAGATAGTATACCAATATACTTTTTTTGTTTTTTGTTTATGTTTACATGATCGTTTGTTCAGTTGATTACATATTTACATTCAGATATATGCCGAGTCAATGTTAGGATGGAAATATCACTACGTTAAAAAAAGAACAAGTCTTGCGTAAATTCAAAGTCTAGGTCTTTCGAGTATTCATGTTAGTTCATAGTTGAATTCCAAGTGTACACAAAGTCTAGAATTAATAGAAAACTAGGTGATTTTCTCGTGCTCATGCACGGGTATAAATATTCATAAAAGTAAAATTTTATAATAATTGATTGATATTTAGTTTTAGTTTTGAATAAATTTTATGACTTTGGATATATTATTGTCTGTTAAATTATCTTTTGGATCAATAGTCGGTTTGGTTATCAATTTGGTATATTGGATAATATCTGTTTTTCGAATTCAGTTATAATATTTTTTATTCTAAATATAATAAACTTTGATTATTTTCTTATTTTCATTTCGATTGGTTATTGCCTTAGATATGTCAATATATTATAGTTAAATTATGTATAACTTAATATATATTTTGCTTAAAATGAAATAAATAATAAACTGAAGTGTTTGATTCAAAATTACATAAATGAATATAATGATAATATTTTGAAGTCTCATGCATATATATAAATTCTACAAAATAATTAAACTGTTATTGGTTAATATTTTTTTTCTTTTTAATATGCTTTGAGTCAACCTCTAATTTATATGTATAAAATTAAATAGATTATTATTATTATTATTATTATTATTATTATTATTATCACTATTATTATTATAACATTATATGTTCTTATTGTAGTTAGATGATTAATTTTGGATATAAATTAGATTAGTCGAGTCATTCATTTTGGAGTATATTGAGTTAAATATATTTTAAATTAAAATTGAAGTATAATTACTTTTTATTTTAGTTAAGTCAAATCAAATTAGTTTTATTTATCGCTTAAATATACATGTATTTTTATAATATTTACTCTTTATTTTAGTTAAGTCAAATCAAATTAGTTTATTTATCACTTAAATATACTTGTATTTTCATAATATTTATGAAATCATATGTTGATTTCTAAAGAATATTAGAAAATAAAGTGTAACTGGTAAATTTTAAATGTTCATGAACATATATATTTTTATTATTTTGAAAATATATTTTATGTTATTTAAAAATATATATTAATGAGGGTATTACTATTTTGTGAATTTTCCTTTTTAATAAAGTCATATTACATACATATATTTTCGTTTTTTAATTTGTTTTAAAATTTTAGAAATATTTCATTTTTATTATATATGTTATTTGGAAAAAGGTAAAAAAAAACTAAATAAAAAAAATTAATAATAATCTTAAAATCAAATAATTCATTAAGGATATCTATGTAATCAACCATCGCGAGAGTTAACATGAGCGCGACACGTAGGAAACTGACTTCTCAAATAATATTATAGAGATATATATATAAGCAGACGAATGAAAACATGCATGATTCCATAGTATAATGAAGTTTGAATTCTTTCAAAGATTGTTTTAGTCCATGTATGTTTTCCTTTTTCTTTACTAATAAAAAGTAGAAAATTACACACGCACAAAATATTGAAAAAAGACAAAAAATCAAGTCAAGCCGACCAAACTCTCCTCCAAACAAGACCAAAACACTCCTAACCATTCCAACAAAGTTCCAGGAAATAGAAAGAAACTTCCTCTTTTCCATTATCTTATCAAACACGGACTTTGTCTTGTCCTCTACCTGCACCACCACCTTCCTCTCTGTTGCCTTTTTAAAAAACACTATCATATCTATATATACTTCATCTAAACACACAAATTCTATATCTTCAATATCTCCTCTACAACACATTACTTAGTTCTTTGTGACTCCTTTCAATCATTCATTGCTAACACAAACCATGGAGTGCAAACAATCTTCTTCTCTCACTTTCTTTGCTCTTTTCAACTTGTTCTTGATCAGTTTTGGCAGATGGGTTTCTTCTGCACGCATCTTTTTGTCCAGTTTCTTGCCTCTTCTTCAACACCACCAACGTGTGAGGAACCAAGACCAGAGTGTGATCACAAACATAGAAGCGCAAGAACAAGAAGAGGAAGATGATTATCTCTCTAGAGAAGACGCAGAGATTGTTATGAGAAGTTTAGGTCTCTCTCCCGACCAAGAAAGCGACGAGCGTCTTCAAGAACGGTACAGTTCCAAGGAGATTTCGAGTTTGTTCGAAGAGGAAGAGGCGAGCTTAGAGGAAGTGAAGCAAGCTTTTGACGTTTTCGATGAAAACAGAGATGGTTTCATCGACGCAACAGAGTTGCAAAGAGTTTTAACAATCTTGGGTTTCAAAGAAGGATCAAACCTAGAGAACTGCTCGGTTATGATCAGATCGTTAGATGGAAACAAAGACGGAAGAATTGATTTCAACGGATTTGTTAAATTCATGGAGAGTAGCTTCTGCTAAAAAGCATATGATTTTTATTCTTTTCAACAAATCTATTATTTCCTTCTTAATTCTTCTTCTTGGGATGAGATTTTGTTTATAATTAAAATACTTAAACATGGTTGTTGTCAATACTAATCAGCCTTTCATTATAATCCAAGGACTTTTGCGTAATTTCATAACTTTCAACTTAAAGACACAACATAGATAATCTCTTTGCGGCATTATATCGAACACTTAGCGTGCACATAGCTCAAATCTATTCCTTCTCTTGTCAACGCTCGAGTAACAAAGACAACAACTGATTCCAACTTACCTCCGGGACAAATCGGACAAAGGGTAGTGCTCAAAAAGCTGTCTTTAGCTATACAATAGAAGTCGCTTAAGCGTTGACGAAGCGCGTTGCTTCTCCAGGCGTGTGGGCCTGAAAGCATATTATACAGACATGTTTAATTAAAAACCCTAGAAGCTTCTAACAACATATAGAGTCTCTCCCAGATCTCCCAGCAACGTCCCTCGTCGAATTTAAGGTAAGATTCCTCCTTGTCGGAATTGAGATTTTGTTACAAACCAATCAAAGTTTCTAGTTTTGTCTGTATTTCGATCTATGTTTTTGTTTTCTCGGTTTTTTGAAGAACTTATTTTTACTAGACGCTTCTCAGGTAAAAGCTCAAAAGGGTTTAAGATGAGTATAAGTAGAGCCAATGATCTGAGACTTCCATTGATGAATCTCATTAGACTCAAAGGAACACCAATTCTGGAACAGCTTCATTTAGAAGAGAGGCTTCTTAGAGCTTCCTCTGAGAATTGGTGTATTGTTAATGATGGAACCAATGTCCCTACCATTGTAATGGGAATGTCAGGGTAAAAAAAAAAACTACCTTCCTCTGCCCTTTTTGTGATGAAAATCATTTCCCAAGAATGTTGAGTTTTTGAGTTTACAGGAAGCCTTCTCAACTTCTTGAGCTTGGACCTGTTATGAAAGATCAAATCCCGGTGATCAAAAGATTCACGGGAGGTGGGACTGTGATTGTGGACAAGAGTACTCTCTTTGTGAGTTTGATTTGCAACAAGGATGATGTTCCAGGTGTCCAGCCTTATCCTCGTTCTGTCATGGCATGGAGTGGTTCATTGTATGGGGAAGTGTTTGGAGGTGTTAATGGTTTCCAACTACGTGAGAACGGTATGTGTGAAACTCTTTTTTTAGATGTTCTTGTTAGTTACTCTGCCTTCTTTATTCATCCACAATGAAATAGTTTGATGTTTTCTCTTTAAAAAATTTCAGATTATGTTTTTGGTGACCGTAAATTTGGTGGGAATGCTCAATCAATAATTAAGAATAGATGGATACACCATACGTCATTTCTATGGGACTACAATGTTAGAAACATGGCTTACCTTAAGCTGCCTTCGAGAGTGCCACAGTACCGGTTGGTAAGACCCTTATTTATCTTCAAATTGATTGCTTGATTTAAGACATTTTGATTCGTGTTATATATATATTCCTTTTTGGTACATTGCAGGAAAGAGATCACACAGAGTTCGTGTGTAGGATGAAGGATTACATTGAAAGATCGGATTTTATTGAGAAGACAGTAAAGGCTGTGGGAAAGCAATTTGCAATGAAGCAAGTGAACCTTGAGGATATAGATTCCTACGCAAAAGGAGAACATGTGAAGAGCACGAGGCTCCTTACAATGGAGGAACTCCAAGAAGCAATGTCAGGCACAACTCAGAGTGCATGAGAGCGTACTGCTCATGCTTGTTATGGAATGGCAAAACTGCTATAGTTTGCTTGGTCCTTTTGATTATTTGCCTCGTTGTAGGCTATTCCTAGAATTCAATTTATTTTGTAATCTGTTTTCAAATTTTGTGGTTAAGAAATTTCAGTGATATCACATGGAGAAAGAGAAATAAAGATACTTGATTTTTTTTTGATAATAATGAAAGGAGTACTCAAATTCTTGATTAGCTACTCCAAGACATTTTTCTTTTCGGTAAATGTTGAGACTTTGGTGGTCTACTCCAAGAAAATCTGTAAATGTTGGAGGTTTGGTGGTCTTATTATATCTGGTCACCGTTGTATGTTTTGCAGCCGATGATGATGATGATAAGGAATCTGCAGGGTCTGCAGGGAAGGCTGAGTAGTGATGCAGACCCAAATTCACATCATCATCATCTACAGTACCTGCAAAACACACAGCAACACGACGTTAATTGCTGCCTCAGCTTTCTTGCCATGAGATGCCTGCCAGAGGTTCTTTTAAGGCATTGAAAAGCTTAGCAATATTCTTGGAAGCATGAGAAATCCATCTAAGTCTTCTCATGGTCTCTCTCCTATAACCATGTCTCATAGAGATGCAAGTGATTTTTGGATTCAGTGATGGTTATGTCATGGTATGTAATATTCTTGATTGCCAAAAATGGAAGCAGGAGCCAGGAAGAGAAAGAACATGTGTGAGGAAAGAGAGTATAAATGGTAATAGAAAGAAACTCTACGCATACATCTTTCATGGTTGCTCTGTTGAGAGCTTTCAGTTCTCTGACATCATGTTTTAGAAAGAAAAAAAAACTCGTTTGAATATTTGTCACCTTATATATTCTTCTCCTCACGACTCACGAGTTACCATCATCTAAAGTATACAATTTCCTTGTATATCCATTTTTAGATGCAATTCATAAATAACGTACGTGTGTATGCATATGCATGTTCTACGCATTATTCAAGGAACAACCAAAAAAAAAGTACTACTCTCATAGTGGCTTTTTCCAGCACTCAACTTCAGTGGAGCTTAGCTGAAAGCATGTCCATGTCATTGCATGTCTTTCAAATGTACAATAAATCCTTGTTTTTACTAGATGTCTTTACACAATTAATTTAATAATATTCTTTATTCATTTTGATATATAATTAATATATAGAAGACTCACAAATTTATAACTTGTCTCCTCGGAGAACACTCGCTAGTAACTAATAAAGAAGAGAAGAGGAGAATTGGAATAAATATGAATACTGAAAAGGATTGAAAGTAACATAGAATACCAAACCCGTTTACAACAAATATGATAACTATAATCTGCAGCCCATTAAAATCTTCTGCCGGCCAAGCGAGTAGCATGAGCGAAAGCCCTCCGACTGAAACAAGATGGCCAATGGCTACCGGCACTATTTTGTCCTTGCAATGACAATAATGTGTGCTGAGATATATATATATCATCAAGACCCAGAGGATCCCTACCCTCCCTTCCAGTCCAATTCGATATTTTGGGACTGGAACATCTTTGAACAAGCACCTTATTAACATACCAACGTACGCCACAGTCACACCGCACATTATGGCATACCTAATCCTGAAACTCAACACAATTTAGTACCATTAAAGACCATCCAATAATATATTACAATGATTTCCTTACATGTATTCCTTCTCGAGCCGCATACCGATGATTGCTCCTTGGAGGCTTAAGAATGAAATGAAGAAGGCCCACGCATAATATATGAAACGCATACCAGAACAATTCACTCCTCTGATTCTCTCATCACTCATTTTTTCGTGATTAATTACGACAATACGAACAAGAACCAAGGGAAGAAAGATAAATATTATCAAACGATTTGATGAATGAACTTTCAGTCTCTCTCTCTCTCTCTATATATATATATATAGTAGATAAAAGGTGATAAATATTAATTTGATGATCATCCAATCAAAATTTTGATATCTTTTTCTAAAAAGAAACATATATTTTTCTTTTGTTAACTAAGGAAACATATATATATATTTTTTTTTTACTAAGACTATGTACAATGGGAATGTTGAATAAAAGATTCAATAGTTGAATCACTACAATAAGGATGTTGAAAAATGAAATTTGATGATGTGGATTAAATTGTGTAAGATTCAACTAGTTGAATAAGATGGAAGTGTGGACCACTGATACATGTCACTTTTCTAAGGTTTTTTGACATTTTCATATTTTCTTTATTTTTTAAAAACTAACTAGATCTTGACCCGCACAAAGTGCGGGTTTTATTGAATACTAAAATGTTTTAAGTTATACAATAAAAGTTATGAATATTATTAATATAATTAGATGTTATATATTATCTAACTTATAATAATGTTTGTGCGGTTTATAATATTATTAGTATAAAATTTATAAATTTATTTTTTATAAGAAAATTAAAAAAAAAACTGATTATGTAACAGTATTAATTGTTTTATTTCTAAATTTGAAATATATGGAAATTAAATTAAGTTAGATATACATAATAGAGAAGCAAATTTTTAGGATACTTTTAATTATATTTTCTGATAATTAAAATATCAATTAACTATTTTTTTGAAATATATATTCTTAAAAAATTTAAAAGATCTTACAAAGATATTGTTAGAATTTTCATAATGATATTTTAGTATTTTAAATAAAATTAAAAAATAAGAAAAGATATTATATAATGATGTTATATAGAATTTAATAAACTTTCTAAGGGTAGTCTAAATTTAAAAATCACACATGAAATGAGTTATGACTTCGGTATTAATATATAAGATTATTTTAATATAAGTTGTATAATTTATTTTTATTTTTGATATGAAAATCTATCATTTTAAATTCTCTATCAAGAGAAACTAATTTAATTTAATTTAGATATTTAAAAAAATAATTATTAATTTGTAAAATATGGTGTTGAATTTTATTAAACAGAACCATTGTAGTGAGTAAAAGTTAAATATGTGTTGAATGATGAAAAAGAAGAAAGAGAATATGATGTGGAATGTAAAAAGATGATGAAGGATTTTGAATCTTGAAAGCATTGTACATAGTCTAAGGAAACATATATTTTTCTTCTTTTTTGGTAAAAAAAAATATTAATTTTAGAAGATAGGAACTAAGTTTTGATAGCACATGTACGCGTTTATGATCTAGAATTCTTTCTAAGTCACAGTTCTCGATATTGGTCTTTAGTTCGCGGTCAATAAGCCACGGTTTACCTTTACTGGTTTTAATCTTTGTGGTAAAAAAAATCTTTGGACTTTTGCTGCTCTTTTCAAATCTTTTACCGTTTCAGTTATATCTTTGGACATTACTGCGCGTCAGCCCACCAGGTTCTACACCTGACCCGGGTCAGAGGGACCGATTTTCTGCCTCTTCACCGACGTTCAGCCATCTATGGAAGCTCTGAAGTTTGAAATCCCCTCCTCCCTTCTCAGCATGTCACCAAGCATACTTGGAGAAACTCAAACCACGTAGGCGCTGAACTTCTCGTGGTTTTACATTTCCTCCTTGTTCCGCATTTTTTTCAACCACCACAGCACTTTGGACTTCCTGTTTCAAGATTTTACTATTGTGTGTAGTCAACCGTGCATTTACTTTATCTATGGGGTCATTGCAAAGCAGATCTAGGTCTTGTTTTAATTGCTCACCAAACTACTCATGCCTATTTGGGTACCTCGCAACGTTATCTTCAATGGTGAATTGGTTTTCCTGATCTGAAAAAGGAAAATGGGCCTCTGACAAACAAACGCGTTGCCCTATTGTCGTCAGCCCTATTGTCGTCATTCCAGAGCCCGACACCAATGAACTTATGAAGATAACAAGTTCACCCTGATAGGCCGTGTTACCAATCCGAGTATCCAAAAGACACGAGCTCTGGTGGAGTTCTTCTTGCAACATTGGTATGTGGTTAAACACTTTACAGGCAGGGATTTGGGTCCTTACCTGATGTTACATTGGGCTGATTTATGAAGCTATAGACATGGAAAATATTTAGAAATAGATCCATGATGTTATCTAACATGTCCAGCCTATTTTATGAACTTTCAAGCCCAAGAAGATTCATAAACAAGTAGTTTCTTTGATGTCCAAGAAGAGCGACGAAAATTAGGTGTTTAAGTGCATGGAAAGCTTCTCTCTCTTGCATGCAAGGAATTCTTGTTTCAATAACTCTCTCTCTCTTCCATGCACTGATTTTATCATTTCCAATGTAATAAATATCTAGCTTTGTGAGCAAGTTTTGTTATCTTATAAATAAGTTGTAATCTGAATGAAATAAAATATGAGTGAGTTTATATTTTTGGAAACCTTGAGAGTGATTCTCAAACTTGTTTTCGATCATGGTGTGTAATATCCATTGGTCAAGACTTTTAAGATTGTCAGTGTGTAATATCCTTCAATCTAACTCAATCAAACTTGGTGCGTCATATCCAAGGGAGATTGTTATATGGTAGTATCAAGAGACTTTCCGCACCTCTTGTGTCACCTTTCGATCCACATCCCTTGATTGTTTGTTGCTTTCTGCTCATTCGATGCAAGGTTTATCCCTTACCAATTTCAGAGTGTAGTCCTTGGGAGGTTTTCATCATTACATGTTCCAGTTCAAGTTTAAATCGGAACGCGACATACAATCCATTATCAATAAATTTCCTTTCCGTTTTAAGAGATGGATGATGATACTCCAAAGGTGGGAATCCGTTATCTCAAATGATTTCTGATTTCCCATCGTCTATCTCGTTCTTGGTTAGAATCCATGGGATTCCCCTGCATTACTGGACTAAGAAAGCCTTCCATGCAATCGGCTCATAGATTAGAATAGAATAGTATACACAATAGATGTGAACCAAGGGAGAACCATGTTAACAGTCTCAGACCCCTGGTGGTGTTTATGGACATTACTTTGTCTAGGGAAACTAAAAAGATAGAATTGGAATATGAGAATATTGAGAAGCATTATTTTCTATGTTACTCGATGTGTCATAAGCATAAAACTTGTCCTAAAAACGCAACTGAGAACCAAAAACTAAGAGAAAATGCATTAATCAAGTGAGAACGCTGGAACGCTTGGACTCATACAGAAGATAAAAAGATGATAGAAAGATAGAACGAGGACACCACTCAGAGTTCCAGCATAAAGACTATAGCACTCAACTGTTGGGGTCAAAAACGATTATCTCGAAATCAACGTCTAGGATTGTTTTCTCTTTTACGAATTCTTCTTAACTCGCTCCAAAAAGTATCTCGAATAAAGAACTCGAAGGATCGATCGGTCAAGAAGGAACGAAAACAAGTTGGACATACCAACCAAGGTTCAGCTCGCTATCAGGCGAGTTGGACGCAACATCCGACTCTCCCGATGGCGAGTTGGATCCAAGGTCCAGCTCGCCATCGGTCCAATTGGACCCAAGATCCAGCTCGCAAGAGATGAAAAAGAGAGAGAGAGAGTGAGAAGAACCTGATTCATGTCACTTCCCCTGAGAAAAATGCAAGGAGCTCTGGCGATGATGATTCCAGCTTCGGTGATGATGATTCGAGCTCTAACGACTCCAGCCCCGACGATGACGATTCGAGCTCAGACGGTGTTTTGATCTGGTTTTCTCTTCTTCTTTTTTTTTTGAATTTGCGATTGTCAGCTTTGATTTTGTGTTTGGTTTTATTTAATTTTTAGATTCAACAAACTAAAATATTGGTTATTAATTTATTTGATATAAGCTAATGAAAAATATCTTATGCAAATTTTTACTTGGTAGATTAATATGTTTTGGGTGTGACAAAAATAATTACAATTATTGTTTTGAATAAAAAAAAAGCAAACCAATGACTGAAGAATCATGTCAAGTTGAATCAACGACTTGAATCATGTTCCAGACTTGCTTGAAGCGTTTTGGAGTGGCCTGAAGTGTTTTGCTGCGTGTATTGGCATATGTCCCGCGGGCCGGCCGACAAAGACTTGTACAGACAGGTTTGAGCAGCCATTTCGGAGACCGCAGCCGCGCGGATCTAAACCCGCTGTGACCCGCTTAAAGAAAATCATGATGCGGTACAGAACGGGATGGAACGGGACAACATGTTTGCCATTTTTAATCAAGAGCGTAGAAGGTTGTTTCAAGGCAATTGGTGGGATATTCAATGGACATCATGGAGAGTTGAGGCATTCTTGTTGTAAAACGCTTTATGGGTTTCTGATAATTGTTGGTCCACTTTGTTTCTCAGGAAATTTTACATATGCATTACTATTAATTTTTTTTTAATGTTGAATTGTATTATTAAAGCATTTAGATAAATAGTTTTACACAATGAGAATTGGCAAAAACAATATAAAAAAATGATACACCAATAGAGATCCAAATTGATATGTCTTTTTAAACATGATTAATGAGACCATGTGACATAGGTTGTTTCGAGGCAATTGGTGGACTATTCAATGGACATCATGGAGAGTTGAGGCATTCTTGTTATAAAACGCTTTATGGACTTTCTGATAATTGTTGGTCCACTTTTTTTCCCACGAAATTTTACCTACGCATCACTATTAAACTGATATGTCTTTTTAAACATGACTAATGAGACATGTGACATATAATAAAACATTTGCAGTTTATTACTATCCAATGCCTTGGATTCAGTACAGAAATTTATTTGCACTGAACAAACTGCTGACGTAACACATGTGATAATGCTGGTTGGACTTTCCAACATAATGATATCTAGAAGAAATTTAGGTATGCCTTTATTTATTTTTTCTTAATTGTGAATATCATATATATAT